ACAGTTGTAACAGCCATGTAGATGCTGGGAATTGAACCCTGGTCCTCTGGAAGAGCAGCCCACGCTCTTAACCACTGAGTCGTCTCTCCAGCCTCGTGATGTGTTTTGAAAAGGAGACATCCCTTTAGCTTATATCTGGGGAGTGAATGTGCACTTTGTGAGAGATGGGAGGGTGCTGGGGGCAAGTGTGGCTGCCAGGAAAAGCACTGGGGAGCGTAGACCATAGACCTGGGTGAAGGAGATGGGAAGGAGTGGACAGACCTGGGAGGATTCCCGAGCAGAGCAGGAGAAAGAAGCAGCAGGTGTGGGGTCTGAGGCAGGTGTACAGAGAGGCTGCTGAGCCTCAAGAGATGGGCAGAGAGCAAAGAGGAACCCTACAGGCTTTCTGGGGAGAAGGGGGATCCCCAAACAGTTCGCCTAAGAACCATAGAACACGGGTATATCTGAAAAGGTCCTGAGCCTCCCTGGAAGGACTGTTACTGATGCATGCGCGTGTGCACACACACACAATAGGATCCCTGTGTTAGTCATGATGGTTCCCACACCAGTTCATCTTATTCACACATGTGACCAGTTTAGAAAAAAGGATGAATGCTCCCACTCTCAGCCCCAGGAATCCCTGTGCACACCACCACACACCTCCTCTGGTTATGCCTCAGGCTGAGCTGTCTCCTGTACCTCAGATGTATTAGGCTACTCCTCACTCACCCTGCAGTCCTTGTTGAACCTGCGCTGTGTCTCTCGGCTCTGGGTCATCATCAGATCAGGGTGGTTTCTTGCAGACATGAAGAGTGAGTTGTCCTTGATCTGCCTTCTCTCTCTCTGGCCCTGGATTTCACTGGGGCCTATTTGCTCTTTCCTTGACCTTAGGTTCGTTTGTTTCTGGTTTGGGTTTTTAAGTTATTTAATTTTTTTTAAATGGGATCTCACTGTGTATCCCTGGCTAGCCTGAAACTCATCATATAGACCGGACTGGTCTTGAGAGATTCCTCTGCCTTTGCCTGCCTCTCGAGTGCTAGGATTAAAGTTGGGCATCACCACACCCTGTCTTGTTTTGAGCATCATCTTCAGAAATGCTGTCCACCTCATTTGAGACAGGCTCTCTCACCAGCCTGGACTCACCGGCTACACTGCTCTGCCTGACCTCTGAGCCCCAGGGATCCACCTGTCTCCACCTCCCTGATGCTGTGGTCACAATCGAATTCCACCATGCCCAGCTTTTGCACACAGTTCCAGGGATTTCACCCGGTCCTCTTGCTGGCCATGCCTGCAGTCCTCATGTGAGCATGCCTGCGGTCCTCATGTGAGCATGCCTGCGGTCCTCATGTGAACATGCCTGCGGTCCTCATGTGAGCATGCCTGCAGTCCTCATGCTGGCCATGCCTGCGGTCCTCATGTGAGCATGCCTGCGGTCCTCATGTGAACATGCCTGTGGTCCTCATGTGAGCATGCCTGCAGTCCTCATGCTGGCCATGCCTGTGGTCCTCATGTGAGCATGTCTGCGGTCCCCATGCTGGCCATGCCTGTGGTCCTCATGTGAACATGCCTGCGTGTGAGATGCAGCACTTTCCGGGCTGAGCTACCTTTCCATCGCTGACTTTGAATTTTGTTTTTTTTTTTCTTGTTTTGTTTTTGAGACAAGGTTTCTCCGTGTAGCCCTAACTATCCTGAAATTCACTCTGTAGACCAGGCTGGCCTTACACTCACAGAGATCCGCCTGTCTTTTGGTTGTCGTTTGGGCTTGTGGCATCTTTCTCTGACCTTGAATTACACATGCCTGTTCTCTCTTGGGTTTAAGGCCACTCTCAGTTATGGAGGTCATCACACCATGGGCTCCAATCCTGGCTTGTGTCCTCCCTTCTTGATACACTCTCTAGGGCCCTGAACCCCATCTTCCCAGTCCCAGCCTTCCTAGGGACGCACCCTCCCTGCTACTGCCCACTTTCTTTCTGCCTGGACTGCTAGGCCACTTGTGTTCTCAGCTTCAGCCCCAGGACAAGCTCTCTTCCTAAATTTGGGTTTGGGAATCTCCTGGCTGAAGTCCAGGATATGAAATTGAAGTGTGGGGAGGGGCACAGCTGTGTCCTGATGACCAAATCCCCCTTTGCAGAACAGTGAACCAAGACCTAGACACATGAACCCCCTGCTTGAGGTCCTACAGTCATGGGAGTGGGGCAGAAGCAATGCTCTACATTTCCCGGACCCACTCTACTTGTTCTGTTGCTCAACTGAGAGATGTCACTGTGTGCTCCTGTTACATGTGTCTCATGGCTCCACGAGCCATGTGTGTGTCACTGTTGGCCAGCGTCTCAGCACATGCATAATCATAGTGCACGAAGCCCACTGTGCTGTAGAAATGACTAGACAGTGTGTGTGAGATGCAGTATGTGTGAGCATGTCCACTGTGAGGTGCAGTACGTGTGAGCATGTCTGCATGTGAGGTGCAATACGAGTGAGCATGTCCACTGTGAGATGCAGTACGTGTGAGCATGCCTGCGTGTGAGGTGCAATACGAGTGAGCATGCCCACTGTGAGATGCAGTACGAGTGAGCATGTCCACTGTGAGGTGCAGTATGTGTGAGCATGTCTGCGTGTGAGGTGCAGTACGTGTGAGATGCAGTATGTGTGAGCATGCCCACTGTGAGATGCAGTATGTGTGAGCATGTCTGCGTGTGAGGTGCAGTACGTGTGAGATGCAGTATGTGTGAGCATGCCCACTGTGAGATGCAGTACGAGTGAGCATGCCCACTGTGAGGTGCAGTACGAGTGAGCATGCCCACTGTGAGGTGCAGTATGTGTGAGCATGCCCACTGTGAGGTGCAGTATGTGTGAGCATGCCTGTGTGTGAGATGCAGTACGTGTGAGCATGCCCACTGTGAGATGCAGTACCTGTGAGCATGCCCACTGTGAGATGCAGTATGTGTGAGCATGCCTGTGTGTGAGGTGCAGTATGTGTGAGCATGTCTGCGTGTGAGGTGCAGTATGTGTGAGCATGCCTGTGTGTGAGATGCAGTATGTGTGAGCATGCCTGTGTGTGAGATGCAGTATGTGTGAGCATGCCCACTGTGAGGTGCAGTATGTGTGAGCATGCCCACGTGTGATGTGTAGCATGTGTGAGCATGCCTGTGTGTGAGGTGCAGTATGTGTGAGCATGCCTGTGTGTGAGATGCAGTATGTGTGAACATGCCCATGTGTGATGTGTAGCATGTGTGAGCATGCCTGTGTGTGAGATGCAGCACATGTGAGCATGCTCACAGCATGCCTGTGTGAGATGCAGTACAAGTGAGCATGCCTACATGTGAGGTGCAGCACGTGTGAGCATGCCCATGTGTGAGGTTTAGCACTGTGAACATGCCCACGTGTGAGGTGCAGTACGGGTGAGCATGCCCGCATGTGAGGTGCAGACTCTTCCCTGCTTGTGTCAGTCCTCAGCTAACAGCTGGCTGATGTCCCCAAAGTGACACAGTCCTGTAGGATCACTGAGTTCATGCAGAAAGGGGTTCCCTGCAGGTCAGGACAGCCCAGCCTACACCCTTCTGTCTGTCCCACATTTTACTCCTTCGGGCCTATCCCACAGCACTCCTCCCCACCAGAAGTATGCAGCCTTCCCCAAGATCGTTGCGGCTGAGCTGGACCCTAGCCCTGTGTGTCCTTCAGACACTGTCTAGATCACGGTGCCTGCTGGAGCAGGAGATTTGTGGTTACACCCACTGCATGGTTCCAGCTGCTCCCATGCCTCTCTGAGACTCCCCCATCTGTAAATGGAACTAGCAATGCCCCAGAGAGCTTTGGGTGAGACAGAGAGGATCAGGAGGAAGTCCTGTCCAGGGAGTGAGGAGATGGCCCAGTGGGTAGAGTCCTCTCCACACAAGTGTGAGGACCTGAGTTCAGATCCCCGGCACACTTATAAAGCCAGGAACAGCAGCAGTGCCTGGGAAGAAGAAACTCTTAGCTCTTGGTCAATAGGCTGTGTAGCTGAACCAGTGAGCTCCAGGTTCAGTGAGAGACCCTGCCTCAGAAAGTAAGGTGGAGCCAGGAGGTGGTAGTGGCACACGCCTTTAATTCCAGTACTTGGGAGGCAGAGGCAGGCAGATCTCTGTGAGTTCGAGGCCAGCCTGGTCTACAGAGCAAGTTCCAGAACAGCCAGGGACACACAGAGAAACCCTGTCTTGGAAAACCAAAAAAAAAAAAAAAAAAAAAAGAGAGGGAGAGAGGGAGAGAGAAAGAGAGAGAGCACGTTTGCATATAACACATCCCCATCCACACACATGAACATGTGTACGCACATTGACACCACCAAAAACAAAGCAAAATACTTCTATCCATTCTGGTAAGCAATTAATAAACACCATTTATTGAAACCAAGGTCCCAGCACAAGCCAGAGACCTGGTGGCTTGGACACTAATCTCCTGCAGGGTGACAGCAGCAAGTGGTGGGCTTTAAAAACAAGGCTGTTAGCTGAGCAGTGGTGGCACCTGCCTTTAATCCCAGCACTCGGGAGGCAGAGGCAGGCGGATCTCTTTGAGTTCGAAGCCAGCCTGGCCTACAAAGCAAGTTCTAGGACAGGCTTCAAAGCTATAAGTACCCAGTCGAGAGAGAGAGAGAGAGAGAGAGAGAGAGAGAGAGAGAGAGAGAGAGAGAAGAAAAGCAAGTAATAATAATAATAAGGCTGTCAGCCTGAATGCTAACATTTAGGAGGTGAAGCCTGTAATGCTAGCATTCAGGAGGCTTAGGGAGGAAGAGGAGATCATGCTAGCCTTGACTATGTAATGAGTTCAAGGTTAGCCTGAGCAAAATGGGACTTTCTCACGACAAAACAAAAGCAGGGCTGCTGCAATGGACCTGACCATAGTAGCGGTAGGAGCCAGCAGGCCAGGGGGACTGGGATAGAGCTGCGGCCAGTCTCAGCTCTGACTCTCATGGAGGTAACTCTAGTGTCCCTAACTGCCCACCTCTGTCTCCTGCCTTCCTCCCTCCACCCTATCTGCTTCCCCTCCAGCAGAAGGCAGACTTGGCTGTGGCAGCCTTCACCATCACCGCGGAGCGGGAGAAAGTCATTGACTTCTCCAAGCCCTTCATGACCCTGGGGATCAGCATCCTCTACAGAGTGCACATGGTACATTTCCAGGGCTGGGGGTGGGGAGGGTGACTAGAGATGGGCTTATGTGGATCTGGGGTTGGCGGGCTGGTCAGACTTCGGAATTTCTGAAGGATGTAGGGGCTGAGCACACCGCTTGTGCAGGGGTAGCTGTTCTCACTGTTCTTTCCATCCATAGGGCCGCAAGCCTGGCTATTTCTCCTTCCTGGACCCCTTCTCCCCTGCTGTGTGGCTCTTCATGCTTCTTGCCTACCTTGCTGTCAGCTGTGTCCTTTTCCTGGCTGCCAGGTGAGTGGACCACCTGCTACTGGGGAGGGGGTGGGGAGAGAGGCCGCAGTCCAGCGCACAGACCACCCACACTGTCCCTCTGTTGCTGCCACAGGTGCCCTATACCTGCCTTCCTGTCTTTCTTGCCCTGTCTGTTTCTCTCTTCCCCTTCAGGGGTTTGACTTGGGCTTTGGCAGGCCTCTTTCCTTCATTTTCTCTCTGCTTCTCTCCTCTTGCCTCCACTGCAAAGTCTATTTCCGTGATGTGTTAGCATCTCTGCTATCTGCCCTCCTCCTTTTTTGCATGTGTCCGTCACTCTTTTCCCACCTCTTCCGGTCTCTTTTCTGCACCTCCGCCTCACCCACCCACTCATCTCTCCACAGGCTGAGCCCTTACGAGTGGTACAATCCTCACCCATGCCTTCGGGCGCGTCCCCATATCCTGGAGAACCAGTACACGCTGGGCAACAGCCTCTGGTTCCCTGTGGGTGGCTTCATGCAACAAGGCTCAGAGATCATGCCTCGGGCGCTGTCCACGCGCTGTGTCAGCGGAGTCTGGTGAGCCCCGTTGTACTACACTGTCAGGGTTGGGAGGCTTCCATTCAGGGATAGAGGGGCTGCTCTACTCTCCCCAGCGAGTTCCCGGTGCCCTCCATGCTATGCAATGAAGAGCCCAACCTCAACAGTTGCCCACCGTCTCTATGGCCTTGGGTAGGGGATGTCCCCTCTCTTTGCCTCAGGCTCCCTTGTCTGAAAAATTAGACAGAAAGGTCTGTCAGGTTTATAAGCATTTGACGATGGCTGGAACAGAAGAATTGTGAGTTTGAGAGAGGCCTGACCTTAAATATCAAGTTCAAGGTCACCATGGGCTACTAATAAGACAGAGTCCAAAAATACCAAGGATTAGGGCTATGGCTTAGTGGTAGAGTACTTGGCTAGCATGTACAGGAGACCAAGTTCATCCTGAGCATGTGAGGAAAGGGAAGGGCCCATGGCTCGGGCGTCAGTGAGTCACCTGTGCTGACATGACCAGAGGGGCGTTGCTATCCTGTCTGTGACATTGCCCTGCTTGTTCCAGAGATTTAGAGCAGGGATCCAGTGTCCTGGATAAGATTCATTTTCTCCTGGGACATGCGCTCGGAAGTTCATGCTAGCTACAGCTCATGCCTGGCCTGCATTTTAAAAAATATTTGTTTATTTGCTTATTTTGTGTGTGTATTCATGTGTATGCACAAGTGTGTGTATGTATAGAGGCAGGCGTGAGTTTCTTGTTGTTTGTTTAGATTTTTTGTTGTATTTTGGTGTGTATGGTGGATGTGTGTGGGCATATATGCATACATGCAGTTGTGTGTGCACATGCGTGCAGGAGTGTGCGGAGGCCAGAGGCTGACACTGACCATCGTCTCTGTTGCTCTCCACTTTATTATTAGAAACAGGGTCTCTCACTGAACTTACAGCTCACTAACTTAACTAGAAGGCCAAAAAGATGGCCCAGTGGGCACAGATGCTTGTGCTGTGAGCCTGTCAGCCTGAGTTCAGTCTCAGAGCCCACAGAAAGATGGAGAGAATCAACTGCAGAGTTCTGCCCTCCACATACACACTGGTGTGCACATCATACACACACACACACACACACACACACACACACACTAACAGTAAACAACCAAGCAGCCAAGGCATGGGAGGATAGAGCTCGGTTGGTGGTGAAGTGCCTGCTTAGCCTGCGTGAAGATCTGGCTTCAGTTCCTGTCAGTGCATAAACAGGGCCTGGTGGTAGACACCTGTGTTCTCTGCACTGGGAGTTAGAGGCGGAGCATCCTTCAAGTGCATCCTTGGCTATACTGAGTTTGAGGATAGCCTCAGCTACAGGAAACCTTATCTTAAAAAGAGGAGGGGTGGGGCCTAGGAATACAGTTCAGTGTACACTTGCCTGGTGTGCTCAAGGCCCTGAGTTTAATACCCAGCACTGGAAAAACAGAAATCCAGACAGAAGAACCTCTGTGTTCATTCCTGTCTGCTACAAAGATCACCACCAATGTAGTGCTTTAAGATGACACAAATGGGGCTGGAGAGGCAGCTCAGTGGTTAAGAGCACTGACAGTTCTTCCAGAGGAGCCAGGTTCAATTCTCAGCACCCACATAGCAGTTTAAAACTGTCTGTAACTCAAGTTCCAGGGGATTTGACACTCTTACACCAGTCCACATAAAAATAAGTCAGTTATTTTAAAAAATGACACAAATGTACTGTCTTACGGTTCTGGAGGTCAGAAACCCAAATCAGATCTGTCAAAGACCTGCTTTGGCTGGGGTTCAGGTCCCAGAAAGGATGTGTAAAGTTGTTGGGGATGAGGGGGTGTGAATCAGGTTGGTTGCCAGCAGCATTTAATTGAAAAGAGAATACTCCTTTTTATTCTCTGTAGTTGCACAAAGGATTAGGTGGGAGACAAGGGGCTGTAAACTAGGGAGTGTTTTGAGATCTGGGGTTGAGGAATTTAGCCTTGACCGTAATAATAGGCACCTGTCAGGTTAATGAAAGGGCTGCAAGTTCCTCTTGCTAGAGATAAGAAGGACTGTTAATAAGCAGGACATTTCCTCAAGCCCCTGAAGGAATGGAGACCCTTATCCAAATGCCTGACTTTGGGAAAAGGACTTCTTCTGGGGAGCAGACCTTATATTAAATACAGTTTCTTAGTCTTACTATATGGACCTGTTCCCCTCTTACCGCTCCCAAAGGAGACTATCCTGATGTCTTACGATGTCTTACTCTTTTTCCATTATATTGTACCATTCTGACTCCTACACTCATTAGCTGAACTCTTGCCCTTAATGGCCTCAGGCTCTGGATCCGAATTGTAGGCTTTTCATCCTTGGGGTCCTGCGTGTGTAGTAAATCCATCGTTCCTGTTCTTGGGGTAATTAGGAGGGCACAGTGGGATTTCTGGTTACTCGGTCAGTGGTAGGGATTTTTTTCCAAAGAATAGAGAGGCTACCATTGTACACATTTTCATCCTTTACCAAAGCCCTGCACAAAATCTCCCAAAGGGAAAGGCACTAATAGTGAGAATCATTAAAAATGAAAGTTAAAAGGTTCTGGAGAATGGTGGTCTGCAATGTAGAAACGCTGGAACTTTGTCAAGCAGCAGTGGTCACCATGTGGTCCATGCCGTAGGTCTCACAAGGCTAAGAGTCATCTTTTCCAGCTTTTACAATCCTCCTGTATTCTCTGACCTTTGACCTAGTTTATCAAACAAACAAACAAAAAATTAGCATAACTTCATCAAATCTCTCTCTTGTTATTTATTTTTGCAAAGCTAGATATTGAAGCTAGGGGTTTGTGAATGCTGAACAGGAGTGCTGCTTACCCCCCTGGGCGATGCTAGGCAGGGGCTCTCCCAATGAGCCACACCCCAGCCCCTCACTGGGGGATTCTAGGCAGGGGATCTACCACTGAGCCACACCCCAGCCCCTCACTGGGGGATTCTAGGCAGGGGATCTACCACTGAGCCATAGCACTAGCCAAATTTTTTTTTTTTTTTGATTTTTCGAGGCAGGGTTTCTCCGTAGCTTTTGGTTCCTGTCCTGGAACTAGCTCTTGTAGACCAGGCTGGCCTCGAACTCACAGAGATCCGCCTGCCTCTGCCTCCCGAGTGCTGGGATTAAAGGCGTGCGCCACCACCGCCCGGCTAGCCAAATTTTTGTTCTTGTATTTTGAGACAAGTTCTCACCAAGCTGCTTTTGCCTGTCTGGAATTCACTCTGTAGCCCCAGCTTGCCTTGAGCTCTCAGCCCTCCTGCCTCAACCTTTGAAGAACCTGAAATTACACTGCTTTTCCACTAGACTCACTTCTGATTTGCTTCCACATCCACACACTTGTGTTCACCAGGCCTGTCTGCACGGTCTAGGATCACTTCCTCATCTTAGCCCTTAATACCATCTCCAGAGTCCCATTTACCATGCACTGAAAGGTCGATGTTTTCCAAGGGTTGAGGGGCAGATGTGAGTCTGTACTGTCCTAAAGGCACTGAGCCAATGGTCTCCACTCTGTGAGCCCAACTTCTTCCTCCTCAGCCTGGGCCTACTGCTTGAGGGCCGTGCCGACTAATCAGCCATTCCCTACCCTCTCCCATTCATGGCTCCCTGCAGCTGTTTGCCTGGCCTCTGCTCTTCCACACCACTCGTCCTCCCACACACTCTGCTCATCCAGCAGCACTGTTCGTCTCCTCATGTGACTCAGTGACAGTGACTACAGGCCAGGCTCCTACCATCCTGCAGGAGGACTGTAGGGCATCGATGCTGTCATCCTAGGGGTCGTCGTGGGCCCTGGTCAGAACATGCCTCCTGGGCAGTGTTCACTCAGCCCAGTCTCCTGTAGCCATACCTGCAACCTCAGCACTGAAGACAGGTCAGCCTCAGAAACCAGCATGCCCAAATGCTGTCCTTTACCACAAGGGGGCTCTCCCTTGGTCACTCTTTGGGAAGTGGATAATCCCTTGACCTCACTCTCCTTGCTCTCTGAGCCCTGCCTACCTTCACACCTCAGTGTCCAGAAAGGTCTCTGGGTTGCCTCCTCAGCTACCGTCTCCACACCCTCCTGTCAAGAAGCCCTCAGCCTGATCCAGCTAGCAGCAAGGCTTCTCCCCTTCCCCTCAACCCTCACTTCACATGTGACCATTGTATCCATATGTCCAGTCACCGCCTTAGCTCAGACAGCATGTGTGCCCCCTGCTACTGCCCCCTGCTAGCGTATGCTGGCACTTCAGTCCTCAGCTTCAGCTTCACATTGCCCACTGCCTTCTCCCCACCCTGCCGTGAATCCACTGGCACCAGCAGTGTTTGCAGACTCCCTTTTCATAACTAATATTATTTTAATGCTTTTACATCTTGAGGTGATATTTGATTTTTTTTTAGGGCTGGTGAGATGGCTCAGTGATTGAGAAAGTGTGTACTGCTCTTGCAGGGGACCCAAGTTCAGTTCCCAGCACCCAAGTTAGTAGGCTCACAACTACCTGTAACTGCAGCTCCAGGGGATCCAACGCGCCCTTCTGGCCTCCAGTGGCACTGTATTCACATGCACTGACACACAAGATTTTTTTTTTAAAGCTTTCAGTACAATGCTCTAGTTGTAATGAGAAAAAAAAAGGTGGTTTGATGTATTATTTGTTAGTTTTTTGAGAAAGAGTCTCACCATGTAGCTTTGACTGTACTGGAATTCACTATGTAGAACAGGCTGGCTGCAAACTCACAGAAATCCACCTGTCTCTACCTCCCAAGTGCTGGGGTTAAAGGTACGCACCACCATGCCCGGCTAGGTGATGTAATCTGTGATTGGATAACAGAAGAGCAATAAGCAAATGCTTGTGCACGAACATGAGAGAGGACAGAAACAAAACAGGTGACATCCATTTATAATGAGTCAGGGCATGCCGAGAAGTAAGGTCATTGATTGGAACGCTGTTGACGCTCCGCGTTGGCACAGGAACGTGCTGGTGCTGGAATGAATCACTGGGACCTGGTGCAGCTGGCCCAAGCGTCTGGTCTTGGTGACTCAAATACCAGTGGAATTGCTGTCCTAAACGTGACTTCCAGAAATGGTGGATATTTTTTCAGCAGTTCTCCACACAACAGCATCCAGCCCTCAAGCTGAGTGAGAGCTGCGCTCTGGAGATTTCAATTCATACTATGACCATGTAAGAAATACGTTTCTGAGAAACCCTGTCTCGAAAAACCAAAAAAAAAAAAAAAGAAATACGTTTCCCTGCATGGAGGAGTCAGGCTTTGGGAGCCGTGCCCTCAATTTTCTGTGTTGTTCAGGCCAGGCCTTGCATTGTCAGCCCGCCCACTGGCAGAAACCAAGACAACTAACAAAATACCCCACACTTGACCCAACATGAAACACCCTCTAGATGCATGTCTCTGCTGCAGGCCACGCCTGAATGCACCTGGCTAGGGCTGCTCACTTCCAGACTCCTTGTCTGAGCCTCTTCATGGATCCAGCCGTCTTGTGCTGATTCTCGTGGGTCCTAACAGCTAACCCCAAATTTACCTTGTCCAAATAGCTCAGTGAGCAACCAGTCCTTATCACCTTGTGCCCACTGCCTCCACCCGTCCACCATGTTGCGGTCTCAAGGTCCAGCCTGGCACCTGATGTGTGCTGGGCAGCCACCGGGTCATTTCTTGGTAGTGAATTACATTGGCCCATGAGGTGGGTGTGGAGAGATTGTGTCCATCCCTGAGTGTCATGTCAGGGTCAGAGGTTTGGCTTTTCAGGAAGCTGTATTATTTACCCTTCTGTCTACTCTCCCCAACCCAGAACGTTTTGCACATGTGCTAGGCAGAGGCCAGTGGCCTGTTGTTGTTAAGGCCTGCTAAGATACCAGCGGGGCCTGAGAGGCTCTCTCGGGTCTGTGACTTGCAAGAGGGCCTGGCCACTCTTACTTGGCAGAGCAGGAGGGTTACCAGGGGAGGCCAGGGTAGAACAAATGGCTGCCCTAGGGTCCTGCAGCCAACCCCATTGGGTACCTATTCTCCTGCGTGAGTCAGGCAGTGTCATTAAGACAGTGACAGTAAGCACGTGCCTAGCACAGTCTGTGTTTTAGGTTAGCCCAGTCCTCACAAAACCCTGTGTGGCAGAGCCAGCAGTGATGCGACCAGCCCAGGTGAGGATGCCTAGCCTCAAGGTCACCCAGCTAGACGCCCAGTGGAGCCAGGACTTGGGGATTTTCCAGCTCTTTCCGTTATTGATTTCTAATTCACTTCCATTGTGGTCGGAGAACATTCTCTGTAGGTCTTTAATCCTTTTAAATTTATTGAGACTCGTTCCGTGGCTCTGCAATATGGTCTGTCTCGGGAAATGTTCCCTGTGCTTGCCTGGAGATGAATTCCAATGTTGGTGGGTGAAATGTTCTAGAAATGTCATTGAGCGTGAGTGGTTTGAGGTTGTCCACGGCGTCTGCCTCCTCACTGATCTCTCTGTGCGGCTGTCCTATCAACCACAGGGAGGGAAGTGGTGGCGTCTCTCTGTGTGCTCTGCAGTTGTCAGATGGTTATTTTGCTTTGTGGGTTTGCTTTCTCTCTTTCTCTCTCACTCTTCCACCCCCACCTCTTTCTTTCTCTCTTGTTGAGGTCAAACCCAGATATTTGGAAAAATACTTTGCCACTTAGCTAAACTCTCAGCCTTTTATTGATGAATTCCTGGCAGGTTCTGTACAGCTGAGCCACGCTCCAGCCCCTCACTGGGAATTTCTAGGCAGGGGCTCTACCTCTGAGCCACACCTTCAGCCCCTCACTGGGGGATTCTAGGCAGGGGCTCTACCACTGAGCCACACCCTAACCCCTCACTGGGGGATTCTAGACAGGGGCTCCACCACTGAGCCATGCCCTAGCTCCTCAGTGAGAGAGGGTAGGAAAACATTCCACTGTGTAATCAGTTTTTACTTTATAACTTTTTTTGAGACTTTATAGCTTTTTAATATTTGTCTTTATTGCTGGGCAGTGGTGGTGCATCCCTTTAATCCCAGCACTCGAGAGGCAGAGGCAGGTGGATCTCTGTGAGTTTGAGGCCAGCCTGATCTACAGAGCGAGTTCCAGGGCAGCCAGGAATACACAGAGAAACCCTGTCTTAAATACAAACAAAGAAAGCTTGTCCTTATTTACCGAGGGGTCTGCGCGTGCCACGGAGCACATGTGGGGCTCGGAGGACAGCTTATGGGAGTCCATTCTCTCCTACCACCATGTGGGACCTGGAGATCAAAACCTCATCAGGCTTGGTGACAAATGCCTTGACCTGCTGGGCCGTCCCTTGCCAGCCCCACTTTGAATTTTGAAAATCTGAAATTATGGGCACTGATATGTGGGACTGTTCCGTCCTCCCGAAGTGTCCCCTCTGTCATCAGATCCTGTCTCTTGGTCCTGGCCCCAGTGCTTGTTCTGAGGTCCGCGCTGCACTACAGCTTCTGGATGCCTAGTGTTTACATTGTGTAGCTTGCCCATCATTTTGTGTGTATGTGTGTGAAATTTTATTTTATGTGGATGGCAATTTTGCCTGCCTGTTGTGTGTGTCCCTTGTGTGTCCAATGCCCAGAGAGGGCAGAAAAGAGCGTCAGATCCTCTGGAACTGGAGTTACAGATGGGATTTCCTCCCTGTGTGAACAGGGTTGTTCTTTGTCTGTCTGTCCTCGTGAGGTCTCACCTCTCACACTGATATCCAGCAAAAGGTTCAAGCAAACCCTGTGTTTCAGGACACCCCCACCCTATTTTGTGTGCCTTTTTCCTTTTGAGTGTTCTGTCTCCGAAATCCCATTTATCTTCACGCCTGCCTAGAATTCCCCAGTGAGGGGCTGGGGTGTGGCTCAGTAGCAGAGCCCCTGCCTAGAATCCCCCAGTGAGGGGCTGGGGTGTGGCTCAGTGGTAGAGCCCCTGCCTAGAATCCCCCAGTGAAGGGTTGGGGTGTGGCTCAGTGGTAGAGCACCTGCCTAGAATCCCCCAGTGTGGACTGGGGTGTGGCTCAGGGGCAGAGCACTTGCCTAGCATGCTTGAGGCCCTAGTTCTAATCTCTGCACTGCTAAAGATTTCCTCTATTCTGTCCAGCATTTTTGCTGCTCACATTGAGAGTGTATTTCCAGACAATCTTCCTCTCTTATACCTGGAGTCAGAAGTTTCTGGAAGCAGTACTTAACCCCGGGAGTCAAGCTCTAGAATCCCACTCCAGCCCTCTGCCCTAACTGGCAGGCACTGAGCCTTTTGAAAGTTAGAGCCACTGGGGTCAAGGGTCAGGAGGAGCCACTCAGGAGGGGGCCATGGTTACAGGTCAAGGTGCAAGAGGTGACTCCAGCCTGTGGCTCACGCTTCCCACCCCTCAGGTGGGCCTTCACTTTGATCATCATCTCCTCCTACACGGCCAACCTGGCCGCCTTCCTCACGGTGCAGCGCATGGAGGTGCCTGTGGAGTCGGCTGACGACCTGGCGGATCAGACCAACATTGAGTACGGCACTATCCACGCCGGCTCCACCATGACCTTCTTCCAGGTGGGTTACCCCTAGGACTTCTCAGGCTAGGTACCAGGGCAGTCGACATACTTGACCTGTTGTGGGGGAGAGCTGCTGCCTGGCTGAAGAGTGACTCTTGCCCAGTGAATGGAAACATGGAGGCAGATGGGGATGTAATGTGAGCCAGGCCTGGGTGGCACAGGTAGAGCAGGGTCAAGGAGGCTGCTGGGAGGGTTGGGCCATGTGGTATGAGTTGTCAGAAGGAAGGAGGGGGGAGGGGGAGCTACAAGCTGAGATGAATTTACTCTTGTGTATGTGGGAAAGGGAGGGGACAGGGCTCGAGAGAAACAGTCAGAGTGGCCCTCACCCATCCTCCTTCATACTCCCTCTGCCAAGAACTCACGGTACCAGACATACCAGCGGATGTGGAACTACATGCAATCGAAACAGCCTAGCGTGTTTGTCAAGAGCACCGAGGAAGGAATTGCCCGAGTCCTCAACTCGCGTTACGCCTTCCTGCTGGAGTCCACCATGAATGAGTACCACCGGCGCCTCAACTGCAACCTCACCCAGATCGGGGGCCTCCTCGACACCAAGGGCTATGGCATCGGCATGCCGCTGGGTATGAGCAGGGCTGAACCGGAAATGTGGGATGTGGGGGCTGACTAACCAAGATGTGTGTGTGAACTCAGGAATATCCCATGCCCGACTCTGTAAGACAAGCAGCCTTGCCCTGTGACCCTGGACAGGTGTGGTCACCATCCTGAGCTTCTACACTTTAAACACACAAAAAGTCAGCCTAGAAACCAGTGAGCTCCAGCCTCAGGGGATATTAAGAGAACTGAGGTGACTTTGCATGTACTCCTCAGTAAACATGAACTACAAGGTGCAACACCTCCGTGGGAGACAGGATTTGGGTTTGTTTGTTTTTCAATTCTTTGAGACAAGGATTCACCGTCAAGTAGGTCAGGTTGTAGATGATGACCTTGAACTTCTTGACCCTCCCACCTCCACCTTCCACGCACTAGGGACACTAGGGACGTGCGTGCGTGCGTGCATGTGTGTACCACTTCCGTGCTCAGCTCTAACACCATGCTCAGCTAAGACTTGCTTTTCTTTGCTTCATATTCTCTACACCACACCTATGTCCTAGCTCAGAGCAACCACTCGGAAAAAGCAGGAAGGAGCAGGGAGAAACAGTTTATAGTTCCGTACATATTGTTTCACTGCCCAGTGCGAGAAACCCAAGCGCTAGTTTGTTTCCATGGTAAGGTTTTCTCAAACCTGAGACTTGGGTGCTTACTCTGTCGGCCCAGAATCTGGCCCCTGGGTACCCAAGAAACACTCATCACCTCCACTTGCTTGTATCTCTCTCCTGCCTGGCATTGAGATGGGACTTCAGAGTAGAGAGCCCGAGGGGAACACATGAGAGGGAAGAGCGTGGATACAGAAGGATGGGGATGCACTAAGCCGACTACTGCGAGGCCTTCCAGGTGGCAGGCATATTAGACCACAGATATATTAGACAAGCATACTATAGAGCCATGTCCTATAGCAGTAGGTGCTGACAAGGGCTGTGGACAGATGTAGAGGCAGAGACTGACAGGGAGTGGAAAACTTGGTGCCATTTTGAATTAAGTGGCCATAGAAGACTCGAGAAGAGTCTCTGTGTAAGCAGAGACCTGAGGGAGGGGAGAGAAAGGGTGTTCTGGGCAGAAGTCAAGGTCCTAAAGTACAGCTTTGTCTGGCAGATATGGGAACCTGCCGGGCGGCCAGTGTGGCTGGGCTCCTCGGAATGGCAGCCGCCTGACAGAGAGCCTCTTCCTAGTTGCCATTGGCTTGGACAGGCCTGACCTCTCTCTTGGCTGTTGTGTGACGAGATTGAGTAGAAGCTGGGAGAGGTGGCAGGGCAGGTGGGGTTTGGGGTAGTGGGGCCCATGGTGATCCCCGCATATGCCTGGCCAGGCTCCCCGTTCCGGGATGAGATCACGCTGGCCATCCTGCAGCTCCAAGAGAACAACAGGCTGGAGATCCTGAAGCGCAAGTGGTGGGAGGGCGGCCGGTGCCCCAAGGAAGAGGACCACAGGGCCAAAGGTCAGAAACCCCTTCCTATGCCTGCTCTTTCCCAGAAGCCCCTTGGGCCCCGGCCCACGCCCACACTGCCCATACCCTGGTTGTCCCTACCCTCCAGGTTTGGGCATGGAGAATATTGGAGGTATTTTTGTTGTGCTCATCTGTGGCCTCATCATTGCTGTCTTCGTGGCGGTCATGGAATTCATCTGGTCCACGCGGAGGTCAGCGGAGTCCGAGGAGGTGAGATTGACTGTGGTTAGTTAGGGCTGGAGTCTGGGAGACTCCAGGGCCCAAAGTGGTGGGAACTTGGATGAAGTAGAGGGAGGATATGAGAGGTGTTGGGGAGAGGGGGTCGGGGAGCCAGAAGTAAGAGGGGAGCCAAGAAACTCCTGGTTAGATAAAGGAGGTGACAGATCAGAGAACTGGACAAAGGATCCCTGAGGCTGAGAAGCAGGATACTGAAATACAAAAGAAACAGCTGGTGTGGAGTTGCACTCAGGAGGCAGAGGTGGGCACACGGTCAGCCACAGGACTGTCCACATCTGCTTAATGAGTTCAAGCCCAGCCTGAGCCACATGACACCCTGTTTGACAGACAGACAGACAGACAGACAAACCAAGCATAATCCCAGCCCTTGAGAAGCTGAGGTAGGAGGATTGCCACAGTTCGCCTCAGCCTCTCGGGTGGTAGCAGTGCAGGCAGGCGTACCCCCACCACACCCATCTAAGACTGTGAGGAGTGGCACATGCCAGGTGAGGGACGCAGGGTGAGGAAGTGGCTGGGCCAGTCTGCCTTACGTTTTCCTGGAACAGGCAGGACAGAGAGTGTATGCAGCAGAGAGGACAGAGAGGACAGAGGAGGGACTGGCTGGTTGGAATCGGGTTGGTGGGCGTGGAACATGGGGGCTCTCTTTTTTTTTTTTAACGTATCTGTGGTACTGAGCATAGAACCCAGGGCCTCGAGTGTACCAGGCAAATGTTCCACCACAAAGCCCTTCATTGGTAGTTTCTTGGCAAGTGCTCTGCCAGTGAGCTATCTCCTCAGCCCTATTTTTACTTTCTATTTTAAGACAGGGTCTCACTGAGTTATCCTGTCTAATCTTGAATTCAGCCCTTAGCCCAGGATGGCCTTAAACTGGCAGTCCCCCTGCATCAGCTTTAGGTCTGCAGCCCTAGTCTCTGTAGGTTCACCCACTACTGTTTGGTTTGTTGTGAAGGTTGGCCCTTTGTTCTCTAAAACATGGCCAGTTCTGAGAAAGCCAGCCTTCCACCAGCCTGTAAGATCCTAGGACATCAAGCATCCGGAGCAAGAATTAAAAGCATAATGCATACACTTAGTGGCAGCTGGCAGGAGGCCTTTGTTCCTCGAAGGAGGGCCTCTCTGTTTAGTTGCTTAAGTGCCCTCCTGCCTGGGCAGCTCATATCCCCCAGAGCAGCGATCCAAGAGAGAAATGGAAGATTCTGGTCACATCCTGTCACTCAGCACAATCCTGATGTAATGTCGGAGGAGAGGACCACAGGACTGCCAAGGGGTGGGACATGGAGATTAGGTGCCATGACTCCCAAAAGTGTGTCTCCCCCAGCCTAAGATTAACTGTTTTGTTTATTAATTTTTGAGTTTAGACACAAGTGTGAAGGTCAGGGCTCAACTTTGAGAAGTTCATTCTCTCCCTCCACCATTGTGAGGCCCAGAGAAAGAACCGGCCCCAGTGGCCTAGTCATCTCACTAACCCTGATTTGGTATTTGGAAACAAGGCCTTGTTATATAGTCCCCACTGGCCTTGAACTCACTACATAGCTTATGCTGGCCCGAAACTTGTAGTAGTCACTCTCCTGTCTAAGCTCCCCAAGGCATCAGCTCCACGGTCTGTAAGTGTCCCACTTGGATGTCTAGTAATGAAGCAAGTGCCAAGTGTCCAAGCTTGCATTGCTCTGTCTCCACAAGGCAGAGTCTCCAGTGCCGAGTGCGAGCATGATCTATCCTCACTCCTTCCTCTCCCTCACTATTTCTCTGCAAATCCTGTGGGCTCTGCCTTCGCAGGACAACCCAGAGGCTTCTCTCATCCCTCTGTTCCAGCCTGCTGCAGCAGAGTCTCTACACTCAGCCTCCTATATCAATTCTCCCTTGCCTCCCGTTGGACGCTAGAGTAAACCACGAGCCTTATCATGGTCTGCTGGCCTTACTCAGCTGGTCCCCGCCCTCTGCTCATCGCCTCCCTCTCTCCCCATTCCTCCCTAGCCAGGCCCCATCTCAGCACCTTTGCACTGGGTTTCCTGTTACAGCGCTGTCTCACCCACCCGCAGGGCTTTTATCATGAGGCTCCTGCAGCCTCCACACGGAGTCTCACTGAGGACTTCCTCTTCTGCACCGTCTCAGACGGCAGCATCCTGCCCAGCCACACACACACTATGACTGTTTTCTCTCCCAAGCACCTGTGTGACAAAATGTCTTATGTCCCCATTTGTTGTTTTCTGTGTGCATACTTGAGGAGGGCTGGGCTCTATTTTTTTTTCTCTCTCTCTCCATTGATGGGGATTTAACCCAGAACCTTACACGTGTTGGGTAAGATCTCTACCACTGACCTACATCCCAAGAACCAGGAATTCTCTATTATTCTTTGCTGTTACTCGGGGTGCCCAGATCAATGCTGAGCACTCAGTAAAATATGCCTTGCAATAATGTGGGGCAGTCAGAAAATGTTGTGCGGAAAGACAGGGGTCAGAAAGTGAAAGGCAGGTTCAGGGACAAACTCAAGGAAACATGGAGCTGAGAGAGGGATGGGGAGAGAGGGTACAGAAAACAAGCATTGGCTAAGGTAACGGAATTGGGAGGTGAGGAGGGGGTGGGAGGGAGAGGAGCGGCGCAGAAGGGAGATGGGGAAGGGGAGAAGGGCGCGTCGTGCCCGGCGGTGACCGTCCCTCCACCCCCAGGTGTCGGTGTGCCAGGAGATGCTGCAGGAGCTGCGCCACGCCGTGTCTTGCCGCAAGACCTCGCGTTCCCGCCGGCGCCGGCGCCCGGGCGGCCCGAGTCGGGCCCTGCTGTCGCTGCGCGCGGTCCGTGAGATGCGACTCAGCAACGGCAAGCTCTACTCGGCCGGCGCGGGCGGGGACGCGGGCGCGCACGGGGGTCCGCAGCGCCTCCTGGACGACCCGGGGCCTCCCGGGGGGCCCCGGCCCGCGGCTCCCACGCCCTGCACGCACGTGCGCGTCTGCCAAGAGTGCAGGCGCATCCAGGCGCTGCGGGCTTCGGGGACCGGGGCCCCCCCACGTGGCCTGGGCACCCCAGCCGAAGCCACCAGCCCACCCCGACCGCGGCCAGGCCCCACTGGACCCCGCGAGCTGACCGAGCACGAATGACCGTGGACGGGGCCGGGCATACGCCCCAACTGACTTCAGGGACGCGATGCGCCCCAGGTGGACAGGAAGCCGCAATTTTGCCTTCAGTTCCCGGTGAATTCCAGCCCAGCTCCGGAGCGGGCCTGCGCCCCCTAGTGGACTCGAGCGAGGGTGTCGCAGACACCCGCATTCCATCCCGCACCGAGGGCGGGAGGAGCGCAGAGACCGAGGACTCCAAGGGCTGGGGACTGTGGGGGCCGCTCCCGGAGTTGGAAAGCGGTCCGCGGGGAGGACCCCAACCTGGGACTGCTCAGACACCCCAAGACTTGACACGGCTCTCCACACTTCTGGAGGTGGGGAGGGCCTCTGGACATGTGGGTGTCTCCTGGTGCCCCTCCTCTCTTCTCTTTCTCTCTTTTTTGGGGGGAGAAACCTCAGATTTCTATGAGACGCCCCCAGGGAGAGGGTCAGTTGGGCCCCTATACCTCCCCCTGCTACATCTCAGTCCCTGTTGGAATAAAAAAAGAACAAAACCCCAAAACTGGGGATACGTGTGGTTTATTTTCTGAGAGGTGGGAGGTCAACGGGCGTTTTTAGATCCTGGGAGTCCGCAAGAACAGCAGGAGATTCACGCACTCGTCACCTTGGGCAATGACCGCAAGCATGCAGGTCAGCTCAGGTCCCGGCAGCGGCCCCCTCTCCATTGACCTTCCTTCTCTCAGGACAGAAGGAGGCTTCCACAGAGACCCTGAGACAGATGGAGAGATGCAGGATCTGGAAGGGTGGAGACACTGGGAGGGAAGACACGGAAAGAATGAAACCAGATGGGGCTGGGGGATGGGAGAACCTGGGGATTAAGCCTGGGGTGGCACCTATAATGGAGCTATGGTACTGGACTATAAAGAATTGAGAACTTGGGGGTCGCGTTGTGACCCCTGTGAAGCCACCTTCAAGAGTGATTGATCCTTGAAGTTAAGTCCCTTCCCAGCCCTCAAGCGGGGAAGCAAAGGCGGTGAGGAAGGGGGCTGAGGGCAAGCTGAGCAGGGAGAAGTGTGGGCTTGCCTTCTGTCCCCGCCTTCCTCGCCGCTCCAGGTTTCTGTGGAGAGAGGACGACTGAAGGTCACACAGCCTGAGCCAGATCGAGGCCGAGCAGGAAAGGGAGAGAGAGATGCTGCGGGGGTGGGGGAGAAGCAGACAAATAGGGAAGAGGAAAGATCTTGAGGACAGAACGGGTGAGGGCTAGATAGAGGCGAGAAGAAGGGGGCGGGGGCAGAGGGAGAGATTCTTAGAGACAGAGATTGCAGAAGGGGACAGAGTCGGGCGGGGGTGGGGGAGTGGGAACTCAAATGGAACGGAAGATAAAGGGCACAGGGAATTGGGGTGACAGACAGGAAGTCATAGAAAGCTAAAGGAAGACTGAGGGGGACCCGAACTCTGAAGAGAATGTATTAAGAACCCGGAGCTGGTGAGGGCAGAAGCTGGGCCCGCCCTTCAGACTCCACTGGTACTCCGGAGCTATCCGTTTCAGCACCCACGCTGCCAGCCTGGCGCGCAGCAACCCAGCGTCTGCCCAGACTTCCGTGGTCCCCTGGCAGAAGGCCACGCCCCAAAAGACCCCCACCCCGCACCTCCATGTTAGGCTACTTAACGCTGTGTCCTCAGTCTCCACTTGGCCATTTCTGTGTCTCAGACTCTTGCTTTGTTTGTCATTCCAGACCATCCCCAACATCTTTGCTGTCTCTAGCTCTCTCTAAGGAACTGATTAATCACCCTACCCTGGGGTTGAAGTGGCTATCACTGCGGATTTTTCTGGCCTCCCCCTTTCTATCCCAATAGCACGAGACTGCTCTTCTCTAGGGTCTGTCCTTATTTCTGAACCCACCAAGTTTCTCCCCGTTTTGTCGCCAAGTCTCCATGTTTGGCAAACCTGTCCTCTGTCCAGCATTCTAAGGTTCTCCGTGTCCGTCACTCTCAGTGAACATGTCTGCTACAGTCTTCCTATTTTGCTTTGTTTTGTTTCCTCCTCTGCCTTCGCAGATCTTTTCTTCTGTCTTGTGTCTGTAATTCTCTTTGGCTCTGGGATGGCTCCTATCTGTAGCTCTGATCTCACTCCTTCCACCTCTCCCTGTAAGCTCTGCTGTCGTCCTCCATCCCAGTGACCTTCCGAAGTCTTTTCCCTCCCCCACTACTTCTGCAGAGCGCTGGGAGCGTGATGCACCAGTCATCAGTCTAGCCAGGCTAGTGTCTGAGAAGGGATTACATGAGGGAGCCTGAGCCTGTTTCTGGGGTGGGATGTGGGGGTCCTCTCACCCCCAGCCTGGCTAGAAGAAAGGACAAGTACATATTTCCTTGGGTCTGAGACCCCCTCCCCAGCCTTCCCTGCCTCTCTAACCCTGTTCTCTGTGGATCAGCCACAGACCTCCATATTGAGAAAAGGGAGGGACAAATGAATAAATGTTGGTTACAGTCCCTCCATCCCGGGGATAGGGGAACAGATTTTAGGAAGGGGTGTCTGAGAGCAAAGCACCTGAGTTGAAAGATGGGGCTCCTCCTCCTTCTCATCTCCATGGCAACAAGGCTGATCTGCAGGCCCAACCTCCTTTGCTGCAGAGTCAGCCTTCCTGTTACCATGGCAACAAAGGACAGTGGGAGAGAGGGAACAGGCCATCAGAGAACAGGGTTGTGAAGAAGCTCTAGGTGCTAGGGGAAGCCCCCTTCCTCCTCCTACTGTGGTCCTAGTTATTCCTGCCCAAGGCCATCTGTCAGTGTCTCTGTGTCCCTCTCTCTAGTTTTCAGTCTTTCTGATGTCACCTTGAAGTCAGTATCATCTTAATTTTTTTTCTTTTTTTTTTTTTTGTGAGCAAGGTCACCCTATGCATCCCTGGCAGCCCTGGAGCTTGCTGTCTAGACCTGGATGGCCTTGAATTCATAGAGATCTGCCAGCCTGTGCTGGGATTAAAGGTGTGCACACCGTCTTAATCTTAATACGCACCACACCCTGACCCCACACGCCAGGCTCACTCCCATCTCCTGGCCCCACCCCTAATTTCTACTAACATTTCCAGGGTGAGTCAGGAATGTCCTCATGAGCAAAGTGCTCTCAAGGTGGAGACAGGAGGCTCCAACTCCTCCGGCTCTAGTGTGGAAACTAATAGGTGTTGTGTGTGTGTGTGTGTGTGTGTGTGTGTGTGTGCCTGTTTAAACACACTGTGGTGCGGGTGTGGTGTGTGGGCAGGGATGTATGGATGTTGGAGGTGCAGCAAAGTCATAAATGACAATATGATGTGTGGGATGGTACCCCGTGGTTTGGTTCTGAATGACTGTGTCACGTGTGAGTCTGTGTACATTCTTGCCTGTCATTCATAGCACATATGTGTCCAGTATGTACCATGTGTCGTGCCCTGACCCACTGGGGAGCACTGTATGTTTAGGTGTGTTTGATGGCATGCACATACATCAGAGGTATCTGGAGAAAGTGTGCATCCTACGCGTGTGCAATGGCCAAGGGGAGAACTCTGTTGGTTCTGTGTAAGATGGTGCAAGGTCAGTTGTGGTGCAGTGTGTGATGCAAGTCTGTGGGGTGGTGTTCTGAGGGCGTGGGCCCTCTCCATAGCACTTCCGCCTCGTGACTGTGGTTCTGTGTGGCTGTGGTGGGTGTGAGAGCTGTGTGCTCTTCGTGGATTCCCCTCCTACCGGTTTTTGAGCCTCTGGTTGAAGGATAATGGTGTTGTGTGTGAAGGTGTGACTGAGATACGATTGTGAGCCTGTGGTGGTGTCTAAATGGGGTGCAGATGCGTCCTGGGGCTTCCTCTTGTGTTCTGGCTTCGACGTGTCTCCTGTGTGATGTGTGTGGTGGTATCTCATTGGGTAGCTCAGTCAGGGCTGGGACACAGTGAGCAGTGTCTTAGGACTCCTTCCTGTCTTTGCAATACTCCTCAATTTGGGAGCTTTCCCCACCAATATCCTCTCCTGCAGTATCTTCTTCCTGAACAGTGTCCAGCACAGACTCCTGGGGTCCCTCTACATACTGCAAGATGGTGGTGGTCTAGGGCCCTGCATGACTGCAGCTCACTGGGGCTTGCTTACTACCCTGTGCCCACAACACTCCCAGAAGAAGGCAGTTTCCAGGGTGCTTCCTCCCTCAGAGCTTCCATGCCTGAGGTCCCTCCCTGCATTGAGGGGGGTCTCTAGGTCTACCATCCACCGTGGGGTGTCCGGGATCCCCACCCCCCACTGTGCTCAGCTCCCCGGTGGCGCCGCCACTTTGCAGATACAAGGTTGGAGCGGTGGGGAGGAAGGGGAGTACAGCTGCAGTACCGGGGGCCGGGCCTCGGGCTGTCCGTCATCTTATAACCGCTCCTGATTGGCCGGCGCCGCCTCCCCCCCGCGGGCGCGGGCATATGAGGAGGCGGAGGCCCCGGCCGCCGCAGCCTCTGTGCGGTGGGACCCACGGACCGACAGACGCACGCTCCCACCGCGGCGCGGGCGCTGCAGAGGCCCATCAGCCCGAGCCCGTGCCTGAGCCCTCCCTGCGGCCACCGCTTAGCAGCTCGTCCGCCGCTCTTCCCACGGAGCCGCCAAGATGGGGGTAGGTGCAGGGGTCGGCAGTGCACTGCGTGTGTGTGACATTGTGGGTTCAGTGACTCTGGGTTGTGCGGGAGTTGGGGGGCTCCCGCATTCCTGAACTCTGGGGCCTAGTCTGCGGGGACCCTCGTGCCGGCTGACCTGACCAGTTCGTGTGATGGTGTGTCAGAGAGAGTGGGTTACTGAGTCGAAGGGGGTCTGTGGCGCATGTTGGTAGCTTTGTCTACGGGGGAGGGGGCAAACCCTTAGCATCTCGGTTTGACCTTGTGCGGTTGCTCGTGTGCCCGTTGCATGAGTGCAATTGCTTGAGGGTGAATGCGTGCGTGCGTGCATGCTCCCGACTCCCTCTAGCAGCAGGGTCTGCTGCCATCTGTGCCCTCCCCCACTCCGTCTAAAAGCCTGCAACCTGTCTGGGTGTGTCTGAGAGCTCTGTTAGTGTGTCTAGCGGGCATTGAAGACCCCCGCTCCCCGGGTCCCCTGGCCCAATGGAGATAGATACAGGCTATGGGATGGGCATGAGATGACCTCTCTTTCTCCTTCCAGGCCTGGATAAGGGTGATCTGCAGTGACCGACTTGGGGCTGCAGAGTTTGTGCGGGGGGCCTTAATCTGGGGGGAACAGACATGAAGGCTGGGAGGAGGGGGAGGAACAGGAGAGAAATGGCTGACAGACAAGTGCCTGGCTAAGGGTGTACAAGCACAGCCATATGGTGGAGGGGGAGCTTGCATGCCTGGCTGTGTCCTTGCCTCCGTGTCCGTGTGTCCTTCTCTGTCTGTGCGTCTCTCCAGCAGATGCAGCCTCCTCCCCTGACTGACCACCTGACCCCTGCTGCGGCCCTGGATTCCTCCCTGTGTGTCTGGGGTGGGACCTGGGGGGGGGGGTCTGTCAGGGAAGGCAGTGGATGGGTTGCTGGGCCACGGGATAAAGAGAAAGGGTCACTATGGGGGAGCCAAAGGG